CTTTCAAAAACTTCAAAATGACAAATTCTGTTATCTAATTAACAAATACCGACTATTTATTTAGCATTTAGATCTTTGTATGCTGTGTTGTCATTGATGGGATTTTTCAGCTCTTTTGATAGTCCAGGTTGCAGACGCCGGTATCAGACACTTCACTTCTCCTGATCCCTTCTTCAGTGAACATGAAGCACCGGCTCAGTGTGTGAACTTTTCTGGGGAGGTTTGGCTCCTGTTTAATCCTCCTGGATTAACCTTGCAGTCTAATGAAGATAAAAGAGAGCGCCATCCTGAACGTGTCGAGTGGCCATGTCACCTCCAAATACACTCTGGCTTGTTAATTTGTGAGGCCAAAATGAATAGACATCAGCTAAATCAGTTGGGTGTACGGGCCAAAAGAAGTTGCTGGAACTGGATTTGAAGGGAGATACCAGAGCAGAGCAGAGTGTGAGGGAGAAAGACAGACGGAAAAAGTGTTTTTGTGCTAGAGCCAGAGAGAGCAACACAAGTGTACTCCAATAGCTAAGGGCAAGGTGAAACAAACTCACAGAGAGGGATAACAGGCTCGTGGAAGGGGGATGTGCACATGTGTGTTCATGTGTGTGTGTGTGTGTGTGTGTGGAAATTAGAGAGAAAAAAAGGAACAGAGAGGGTGAAAGGGTGAGATAGATGGAGGAAGTTTAGAGAACAAAAAACAAAAACAGTGAGAGTTAGTGAGTATGTGTGTGAGTGTATGTGTATGTATATGTGTGTGTGTGTGTGTGTGTAGACACTAAAGGTGTCAGAGTGTGCTGTTTGGCTTACTGATGACCCGCTGGGCATCTAGGTCATAACGGTTTTGTGTTTCAATGCCATGACTGTATGCTTATTTGCATCCATTACAGTACATCAGCATGTGTGTGCGCGCGTGTGTGTGTGTGTGTAAATGTAAAGTTAATTAGACATACATACAGATATATATGTACACACTCACACCTACCTAGTACATTTAGGAGTGAGGTTGGTCAGAGGTTGATGAAGCAGTTTTTCTAACTAGTAGGATACTTAAACACACACACCTACAGACTCAGATACACACACACACACACACACACGTTTGCACCGCAACACACAGTGGATCAGTTCTGCCTTCTCCACTCACACCAACAGCTGCCCTCTGTGTCATACATGCACACAGAATGCACCGTGTACGCTACTGAATTATGCACACGTACACACACACAAACTCTCTGTTTTGATCTCTCGTGATAACACACACACACAATCACTCTCACACACACACATACACACACAGAGGGGGGAAGCTATTATGCTCTCAGGCTGGAGTGTTTTGATGGTATAATTGCAGTGACCAGTGAGGAAAAAGAGACAGAGGGAGAGATGGAAAGAGGGATGGATGGAGAGAGAAAAAAGAGGAGAGTGCTGACACTCTCAGCATGCTAATGTTAGGAGGCTCTGCCCCACTCTCTGATTTTATCCCTCTCTCCTCCCCTCTCCATCTCTTTGTCTCTCCATCCTCCTCTTCTTCTCGTCCTCTGCATTCACAGGTGCAGCACCATAAAGGGATGCCGTCGAAAAGGTACGAGAGGAAAAATGGAGATGAAAAAAAACAACAGGATGGAACGTTGTTATCTCTTCCATTCGCTGTCATCCCTCTCCGTCCTCTTCAAGCACCCCACAATGTAAAAACAAAGTGTGTAGAAAATGAGGTGCAGGGGGATGAAAGTAGGGGAAGAGGGAGGGTCAGATTTTTCCCTCCCAAAAACAATGGAGGGATGATCTCTGTTTATCCTTTAATCACATCCCCTCTTTTTCCCCGCTCTCTTCCATCCTCTCTGTTATCTCCAGGTTTCCACAAAAACCCTCTTTTTCTCATATGTTGAGAGAAAATGTTTTCTTTTCCCTCGTCAGCCTCCCTTTTTGGTCAGCTCGTCATCTCTTTGTCCTTCCTGCCATCATCCCACTCTCCAGAGAAGGGACTCATCTCTTCTCTGTCCGCTCTCTTTGGCTGACGCTTCTCTCCTTTTTACCCTCACTCCAACCTTCTGCTGCTATTTGGTTCAACTTCAGGCATTAAAGTATATTCTTTCAAATGTTATTCAAGTCAGGTCATCGTAATGTTCTTCGTAACAACCATGAATGGACTTTATTTAACATAAATCTGCTTTATTTCAATGACAAGGCATGACTTTTATGGTGGGAGTATTTTCCAGCAGCCTAGACAATGTTTGTGGTATGATCAATGTGATTTATAATTAATTGTCCCTGTAAAGCACTTGTCACCTTACTTCTGCCTGACACCAGCTTGGATTGGCTCCAGCCCCCTGGCAACCCTTTATAGGACACAGTGGTAGGTAGAGGATACTTAGTTAGGTTCAGGGTAACGTAATTGAAGTTCAACAGAATAAACAAACTTCAAAGATGAAACAGTCTCTTGACAAGACTTTCTTGTTATAAAGAATGCAGCTGGAGCTCACTGTAAGAGTGCTGAAAGTTCTAGCTTCAAATAAAAAAACCAAACAAACCAACAATCATGTGCTCAGGTAACAGGTAACCCAGTCATATACTATCTATCACACAAATCAGTTAGTTCGTTTTTTAGAAGTGCTAGTATGTCCAACAATTATCTAGTATTCTCGATTTCCATGGTTTCCTGGACTGGAGGCACTGCCATATTATTCAAGTGGCAACAGCCCCCCTCACAGGCACCGCCCTGTTACTGCACAACTGTAAAATCCACAGAAGCTGCTGATTTATGCGGACAGTCAACATTTCTGAGTATTGGACATTTTCTTGCATTTAGTGTTACACGGATGTACAACTACTAAAGAGACTGTGTGAAAAAATGTTCAAAAATATCTGTAGTTTCTTTTGGGGTCACAGTTTTACTACAACTACTCTGTCAAACAAACAGACTTTATTTTTAACTTAATGAACAGAACTGACACGTTACTTAGTTAAATTACAACAAATTTATTAGCATAACGATTCTGTGCAAAAATCATAATTAGTGAATTTACAGAGAGATCTCTAAAGTCAGCAAGAGCATAGTAGAAAGTCCATCAGTCGACGGTGGAGAGTGTGTAATAGTCTGTGTGCACGTACATATGAACTGTCTTAAAACGCGTTGGTTCAGTATCACTGTACATTTTTTAATTCCATGTATTTGTCAGTAGTGCGTTTGGATATTTCTGTCAGATTCATGTATGTGTTTGTCTGCATGTATGTCATAAACCTGAGAATTCTGTTTCACACATTTTCACTGCAGGAACACTGTGTGTGCTATAAATAATTAGTTAGATGTACACCTACGGGGCTTGTGGACTTGTGTCTGTGGATGTGTGAACGATTGTGGGTGAGGAATGTCTGTCCACCAACATCTCAACATGTTGTAGATACTGCGCCGTCTTTCTCATCACGGATTCCTTGCGCACTGGATCGGCTTCACCTACATATAAAAGACAGGAATTGGAGAATGATTAAAAAGGGGAAACAAGAACGTGTGTTCACGGCTATTCTACACGATTGTTTCTACTGGTTTGTCACATAATCACTGAATTAAGATATTATTATATATACTGTATATTGTATATATATCATAAATATGATATAATATATATTATAAAGGTGATATTTTACACAATTGTATGCTACAGCTATTCATACCATCCCAGTTTAACATCCCTGCTCCTCAGCTCAATGTACCACAAATTCAAAATCAATTCAAGGCTATTAACTTATGCTTATCTTTTATGTGCGTTTTATATATATATATATATATATATATATATAAATAAATGCTTTATGTTGGGCTGTCATTGTTAACATGTTAATCACGTCACATGGTCAGAATGATGTTCAGTGTATATCCAACATCACCATTGTCTCGATGAATCATAATCAAACATGATGATCTACAGCCTTGCGATATTCATATCATATTTAAAAATGTAATTGTTTGACAGACCTAGTTTTTTGCTGTTTTGTTGCATATATTGTTTAACAGTCTTATATAATGCACTATTCCACTGTTAACACTGAGTTATATTACGTGGTCCTGTACTCAACAGGAGTGCATAATTCAAAAAGATGTGTAACCAGATTTAAAATATGGTGACTTTTTATAATGACTTTTTTAACTTCAGTGGGGCATGGAAGCAACATTAGTCGCTTCCTGTCAGAACAGGCCTTATTTATTTTCTTAAAACCTCTCTAAAACAGCAACGGCAGCAGTGGGATTCAAACCCACAGCCCCAAAGAGACTGGTGCCTTACAGTAGCAATAATGGTTTAGCAATGAGGTCACACATTGACATCCCAGTATGCTTGGGTGCATTGTGTCCATTTGTCTTTTCCGGGGTCCAACATCAGGTAGCAGATATGCAGTGCAGACTAAATATAGTTTAATAGTCTAAACAGCTGTGAAGTAAAAAGTGCAACATCATCACGGTCGCAAAATGTGCAGTTGTTGTAACCAAGTGCCTGGTTTGACATTTAGATTCAAATGTGAACAGGAATATAGACAGGAAATGCAAGGATGTGGTGTAATCAGAAAAATGGCAAAGCGAACATGCAACACTAAAATTTAGCTCTTTTTTATTTGTCATGCATTGAAACTAAACATGGGTTGAGGACCCGACTGCTGCCCTTCCATCAGCTGAATCCTAGTATTCTCACCCTGTACTCCAGTGATCAATATGTCCACCGCCGTCCTGTATCCTTGAATAGCTGAGCTGAGTTTCCCCTCCTTCTCTTGCTCCATGGCAGCCGTTAGCTCGGTGGCTGCCTGGTTTAGATAGCCTGAATCCTCTCCTTCTAGACAGGTGGTGGGCAGAGAAAACAGCTCCGAGTGGTCAGTCAAGGAACTGGATCTGTCTGAAGCAGGACAGCCAGAGTAAGGAGGATTTATCATTTATCTTGTCTGACGACAAACTATATTTGATATCTCTCCTGATTTTCACCTGTATTCTCATTTTCAATTGCACATTTAAAATAAATTTAATT